GTATGTCATGAGAGAAAATAAAAGTTGTAACAGTGGACAAAGCCAAAATTTGATTGTTTGGACAGACACGGTGTAGTATTCAGTTAGAAGATCGGATTAGGTGATTAGGGTTTGATATAGAACTCTTGTGTGATAAGGGTGATCTTTAGAGTGTTGTAACTCAACATTTCATATACATCATTGATAGACCTATTGCATTGTTTGTTAGTTTTTCTCTTGGTTCTTGGGTTTATTGTTGTTACTTGTGTTTAAATCCACAGCAATGCTTTCATATAATTCAATAGGGAAGCCGCAATCCTTAACAGTCCTATACCTTGTAAAGTTGGATTCGGGTAACGAAAGATTGTCTTATTTCCTTTCTTTTAAGTTACCTTATTATTCTTTAATTTCTAGGACTTGGAGAGAGCTAAATTTGCATTGCAGCTTGTGGAAGTAGAGGTGTTTGATTGTTGATTGTCATAATGTCATTTACTCAATATTTAGTTGAGTAGTTGACAGGTCAGAAGTGCTGCCTTGGTATTTGTTTTGCTACTGATAGAGTAGTGTTTAATGTAAACTGAAAACTCGTGATGATTGGGGCTTGTATTACCTCTGATATAGCCTATAGAAGATACTGATGTGTATGTTATGGAATGTCTCAGGATTGGCAAGATTACTGTGAGTCGTATAAGATGATGGAAGTAAAATATTCTATGGCAAAGGGTGGAGTGTTTTTTTTTTTTTTTTTTTCCGCTATTGTTATATTATTCTTCCAGCTCCCTTGGCCACTAATAGACCTCTCCAGACCTTGGCGACATTGGTTCCATGAATAGTTATAGTGGTTTCGAGCCATTTATTTCATTGTGATTGTCAAATTTTAGAATCATGGCTTCAGGAAGGATGAATTGCTCCCGAAAATAAATCTATTGATTCTCTCCCTAGTTGTAGTGGATCACATAGTATATTTATCAGTACATGTAGTAGCTTCTACAATTACGTGACCTATTGTCTCATTCCATGAACTACTGCCACTATTGCTGTCTTTAGTTGTCTTTCTTGAGTTCTGGTCCTTTACGTGGCCTAGGAGTTCACATTGTGTTTGAGGTTATGTGCTAGTTTATTGACCCTCTCATTTGGATTGAGGTTGAGGATAAAGGTCTTTTTGAAATGGCTTTGATAACCTTTTTTCTATACTGGTTTATTGTGTTTGAGGGGATGTGGTAGTTTAATGACCCTCCCATTTGGATGGAGGTTGAGAACCACAGTCTTTATGAGATGGCTTTGATAACACTGCAACTCTGCAAGTATGTGCTATCATTCAATTTCATTCAAGTTAGTAAATGTTAATTTGCTTGAGACTTTGATGTAAGGCAGAGAGCACCCTGGGTATCATCTATCAATTGGTTTTTCATTGTGTTTCTTTGTCCTTTTGTGGGAGACAATGCATTATGCTAAACCTACTCCTTGGGACGGAGTTAGTATAGCTTGATGTGCTATCTCGGAATGCAGAATGGTTCTGTGTTTCTGATATACACTTTGGGAAAATCAGTCATTCTTAAATTTTGGCAATGTATTTGGGTTTCTATTTCTAAGGAAGTAAGGCAGGTGAATTCTGTCTATTGTAGCTATCTTCTTATCCACCTTTATGATCATAAATGCACATATCTTTTGACTTTAGTGTGAATTTTATGGTAATGATGACTGACGAAATTCTGTTTCAATATATCTGGTCTTATCTTGAGACATGTTCCTTTCCCGTAGCTTTGTGTGCTAATTAACCAAAGGAACTAATTTCTGCCACCCATGGCTCCATGAGTTTTTAAAATTTACATGCCTTTTGGGATATATAATATGTTGGTGATTTCGTGAGCAAATACTTGTAATATACTAAAATCACATCAGTATTACTCCTATCTGGTTGGTTTTGATGTTCATTATTCAAAACCAAAATTTTGACTTGTCGTCTATGTCAAAAAATTTTGACTGGTGTGTAGTTTATGAACTCTAAAATGTGCTGATCAACCTAAACTGTGTCATTTAAAGTTGGTGGGGCATTTGAAAATGATTAATTAAACATGTGCACAACCAAGTATCTTTTGATTTTTTTTTTTTGGAGAATTTGCGCATGATAGTTACATAAGTTTGATCCTTAATATTCTTGGTTTGTGGTAACAATGAAGTCACTCCACCACCACTCATTTCCCAACCCCCCCTTTTCTTCAGCTAAATGAATCGTATCTTTGCTAAACACTTTGACAGTTTTATTTGCTTTGAACATTATGACAGATTGCAGTGCTAGAGGAACAAAAAAAAGAAGCAGAAGAGAATTCTGATGATGATGATGAAGCTAAGCCTGCTGAAAGCGATGAAAATGTAGGAGAGCAAGCGGCTAAGAGTGATGGTAATGCCGAAAAACCTGACATCAATGATGTGCCTATGGAAGAGAACCAGGTAAATTAGTTTCCATAAACTTGTTCATTCTGGCCATAATCTATCTTGAAATCTTGTATGTGCCTCCCAACTAATGCTAAGTATTATTGTAGTCTATTCACGTTGTCCAACCAAATCTTCCTTTTGACTTTTGCAGTCTTCATAATCTAACCTTGACAATTGGCCTATATCAATCTATATTAGTAGAAGTGAGTAAAAGATGTACAAAACATTTTTGAAAGTATGGTCTAAAGTACACATAATCAATGAAAAACAAAGTTGACTAGTAAGATTAACATGGGATAGATGGAATATGGTTCATCAACTTAAATATATAGTTTTGGATGACAATAGAATTTTGGCTTTGACTGTCTTCAGGATGTTGAAGAAAACCAAACTACACCCGCAAGACAAGATTTGAATGAATTGGACTTGAGCCTAGGCTTGACATCACATGATGAGGAGCATGATTCTGACTCTAAGACGGACCCTAAAGCGGATGGTCAAATAGAAAGAGCAAATTCCGGGGCATGAACCAAAGATAGCACACCCAGGAGATCGGCTTAGCCTCCCTTTGTTCTATGATTGCAGGAAATGCAGGTTTTTTCTCTGCTTCTTGTTGTGTTGTTATCTCCAGCAAGTGAGGGAAGTTGCCTGTGAATGTATTATCTAGTCTTCATCTGAATTTTTCATTAACTGAGCTGATTGTATTGTAACGGTAATTGTCTACTAAAACGATACTACATTCTTCCATTTTTCAACTGATTGATTTCTCTATCTAATTGTTCTAGTGAAGATTTAAGAAAAACTGTAGCATGTACTGCCATACTTTGTAGTTTGTACTAGTGGTTACAATAGTTAATACAGCAAACATTTAGTGCTTGTTTTCACTCTGCTACATTTGTTGTCTTTCTCATTACCATCTTCGTTTTGCCTCTTTCTGAATTGATGTTAATCCGGAGTAACAATTTGTTCAATTTTCTTTTTGTAGGCAAATTTTAGGTAAGTTAACATTCATATTTTTTCCCAGTACAGAGTAAGTTTTTCTCTCTACTTCATTGTTACAGTCAGGCCTCACGTCCATCGCCTACTTTTCTCTCTACTTCATTGTTACAGTCAGGCCTCACGTCCATCGCCTACTTTTCTCTCTACTTCATTGTTACAGTCAGGCCTCAGTCCATCGCCTACTTTTCTCTCTACTTTCTACGAAGTATCTTTCTATAGTTTTCCGTATCTTAATGCAATGTAATTATTGATCTAAAATGAATTTTACTAAACCAGACTACTTAAACAGTTTGTATCTATTGTTTGGGGGCTCTATATTATACGAAGTACTCATATTACTTTTATGTATGTAATCCAATGGACACAAGGTTAAGATCATTTAAAAGGACTTTAAACTTAACGAAGGTTTTAATAAATAAGTTGTCTTTGTATGACCCGACCTACTATTGACCTGTTGTGCACGCTGCTGCACGACTTGTCTATTAACAATGACTTGTACCGGAGTAAGGAGATGGAAGAAAGAGAGACTTATTGTACCAGCTTTGTTTTTGGAAATATTTGCTCATAATGTCGCCATCCAAAAAATCATGTTTCATCTTTAGCTGCTCATTTTTTTTCTCTCAATTATTGTTTGACGCTATTACGTCAGGCAATTAATAGTACAAGTAAAAACAAACTAGGGACATTTGTGTCATTGTCTTAATTGGACTAATAGTCAACTTTGATCTAGACTGCCTTAATAAAATTGGGTTAAATATTGTCGAGTTCAATTTAATAATCTAGTGACTGAAAATTAAGAAAGTCAATGAAATATGCACTATAATTGAGCCAAAATTCTCGTGAATATGCTTACAAAAGTTCAGTAAGTAATGAACCTAGCTCAAATATTGTAATTTTCGTTATTTTGATATAAATTTTAGGTTTATTATTAGTGTAGGTGTTGTCAATTTGTCATTGTAGGCATTTAATTCTCATGAAATACAAATTTTTATGGGAAGTAAATTCCCATGACAACCAAACGACACCTAATATTGTAATTAAAAGTAATTAACAAAAATTTATCATTAGAAACTTGTTAAATTGTTTTCAAATTTGTATTTGAAGATAACTTTTTATAGTAATTAAGTAATCTGTTAATTAATGGTTAAAATATGCATTGAAAAAATTAAAAAACAAAGATGGTGTAGTAATTTGACTTTTTTAAACAAAATTCATTCGGGAATATTTTTGACATCATTATCCATTTTGACATGTCAGTTAAAAATACCTCCTAACATAGATTGATAAACATTTAAAAAATTTAGTGGAAACAAATTATGATCTAGTTACAATACTATTTTAAACTGGAAATGAAATGGAGAATATTCTTTTAGTATGAAAATAGAATTCAAAAGGAAAACTTAACCTATGTATAGTGTATACTTAAACACTTCTTCTCAAACTTCTTAGGGATTCGATCTAAGTGTTGGGTATCATCTTTCAAGACTAACAAATAAACTATAGAGTAGTTGACATCCACTTCTTATAGCTCTTGTGGGGTTATACTACTAGCATCTGCTAATAAAGTAATCAAATATGGACTAAATTTTCATTGATATTATACAATATATTACAAATAACGATAAAACTATTTCAATTCTAGGACATATAAAATATACAACTAAATGTAGTTGCAACGAATTGACCTAATTTCCGAAAAATTGATCACTAATCAAAATTTTGAAATCACTAAATTTACATACAACCTTGATCAATCTTAAGTATTACTCCGTACTATCATTTCCCTTGAAGAACAGAAGCCAATAGTCCAACTCTAATTCCATGAACCTTGTTACCAAAATCAACATCCCTGCAATAATAAGAAACCCTAGGGAATTGATCAGCTTCGAAACCAATCGAAGATCTCTTCTTGGCAAGTACCTCTTCATCCCTCTCGACGACATTCTTGAGACTCGAATCACGATTAGTCGTTCTCTTGTAAGGGCTAAAGTACTTAGCTTGCAAGTAGCCATTGCGCCTCCAAGGTGCAACTAACATATTTGCTTGCTTTAATGACTCCCTCATTGCATTACTCATAAGCCTTGTTATTTGTTTAAGCACTTGAGTATTTTTTATGATCAATATTGAAGGGATCATTTCTACTAGGGAGGTGTAACGACTTGTAGGTCGCGCTATCTCAAATTCTCCTGCCATGAATACCTCGACTATGTATCGACTTTTTCCTACGTTCACGTCTATGTACTCGTAGGTACCAGCCGGGAATCGGCCGGTTTTCTCCCACCGGGACTTGCAAAGCCCTGTGTCAATTAATTTTGTTAGCAAACCTATCATTTGTTGCAAGATTACTTAAAAAAACTTGTACAATGTGACATTTACTTCAAAATTAGATTCTATGAAAATAACGATTGCTACGTTAATTAATATTCTACGTTTTATCGGAGAAATTGAAGGCGAAATTCAGGATAAATCAATTGTTATGAGTAACCAACTTTTCAATTCATTGAAAATAATCTTTTGATACCATATATAGAACATTACTTAATTAATTAAACAAATTTGCATTATGGACACCATACCATAAATAAAAGATGAGCTCATTATGTCTAATATTTGCTTCATAAAGACTCCATCTTCTATATTTATATGTGCATCAAATTTTTAGCACATTGAATTTTATTGCAAATAAAAGTAAATTTTCAGTTAAAAAAAATTCAATTCAATTTTACACCTACCCAATTTATATGAACGTTCATGATTAAAAAAAATACATATATAAAAATCGAAAAAAACAAAACATAAAAATTAAATATAAAAAATAACTTACCAGCATCAAATCCTTTGTCACGAAGATGAGCCATTAAACTACGTTTAAAGCTACTTCTCGAAACATCATTAACGTTACCATTGAAACCACCAAATAATTTCAATGCAACATCAATTTCATTCCAAATCTTTTGTCTTGTACTCTTTTTTTTACTACTACTTGTACACTCTAACAACAAACTTTGTAACATCTCCTTCCTTTGTGTATCATCTTCATCATTGTCAGATACCCAGTTTGCATCGCAAGACTCGTTACCAATATCCTCATTTATATCAACCTCATCGATATCGATTTTAAAGTTATGATCCATTCCATGATCACCTTTCTCGATAAACGAGTTTACGAGATCCGAGAGATCGGCCCCACTCTCCGGCCAATACTCACTCCCGCTACTACTATCACACGGCCGATGCCACTTGGCGGCCTCGTCGAAGGCTGCTGCTACCCTATTGAATTTGATTGGTATTTTGGCCATATTTTGGATGTATATTTATTTTGTACAAAATTTTGTTTATATAGAGAGAAAAAGTGAAATGAATGAAGAGTTAAGATTTATAATGATGATATTATGAAGAGAGAATGAGGTAAAAATGGTGATAGGATGTAAGCATGTATGACAAATATATATATATATATACTTGTTTACTTAATTTTTGTTTTAGCTTGAAACAAAAAATGGGACTTAACTCTTTAATTATCCTTGGATTGTTATGAATGTGGACTATGAATATTCCCTTTATTTGTGTATAGGTTCATCGGTTTTTACCAATGTATGTGGATTGGTATTGGTCACCAATTCACTTAATGGGTTAATTACAAATAAATTCACAATGTATTATGGGAAAAAAACAATATCCGGGATAGGTTATTATCATATGACGTGTCAGATATGCGATATACATATTTTTTTTCAAACACAATTAATGTTAATCAACTCAGCTGCATAAATCATGATATGTCTAGTCTACAGCTAAACTAATTTATACACGTGTATACGTTTTACAATAATTTTTCATGCAATTAGGTGAACGTAACCAAGACTAGATATCATCATGAGTTATAAAGCCAACTCTATACAGAAGAATAGGTGTATTTGATGCAAAATCCTTAACAATGTTATTAAACTTTTTATTTAGCTAGGTTTATAACTTCATATAATTATTTCACAAAGTAATGAAAAGCACAAATTAAAAATATTATTATTTCATGCTCTGTACTGTGTAACTTTTAAATTAGAATAATGATGTAACTATAGGCAAGTTAAATAGTTCAACCAGCACCTACCTTTTTTAAAATAAAATAAAGTGAAATACGTCACTCCGATCCACTATATATTCAACCACATACTTTGTATAACATCGACCTAATTATATATTGTAATTCGTAAAATTACATACAAATAGTTGAAGATGGCAATAATAACACAAGATCTAGCTATTATGTCATTGTATATGATCTAGTGTGTTACTTTTATAATGATCGTATTACTTGAAAATAAGCAAGTAGTGACAAATAAGCCATGAATTTATAGTACGAGTACTAGCTAGAAATGTCTTCTGATAATATTAATTTATTTAATTAATTGGTAGTTCCACACGTTTTTAATTTATCTTGTATGAACATAAACGATGGCATCATATAGTCACAATTATTTCCTATGTTTGTGCTAATACTAACACGACTACTAGAGTTGAATGCTAGAATTGTGATTTGCGAAACAATCTGTCACTCGGATCGGAGGACAAACAACTCAACTCGATATGTGTGATTGACCGATTGTATTCTTATCCACTTTTGCTTACCTTCATATATATATTTATGTTCCCTAGTATCTAGATTTTCTCTTTTGAAAAATTAGAATTTCTTGGCCAAATAGAATTTAGTTATTAAGTGCCTTGATATATTAACATTTTATTTAATTCTCTATTGAAATCACAATTAAATTTTACGTGGTCAAATTAACTCAGTAAAGGTTGTAAATAAGCAAATGGTGTAACTATTTAGAACTAAACAAAGTCATTAATCACTACACATACAATTGATACAAATGGTCAAATGGATTTATCAATTAGGAGTAACAATATAATAATGAGTAAACTAATTCAAATGAGGTTAATGATAATACATAATTATATTGGATTATTGATTGAGTTATCAAGTAGGCATGAAAATAAAAAAGGTGGTTGTTAAACAATGAGTTTACTAATGCATGGTGTTACTAACAAAGTTATTCATTACGTTACACCAATGCACCATCAGTTGGTTGATTGAGTGGCGCCATACGTACAATATAGTAGAATTGTAGAAGTAAAGCGTGCCGCCGTGGGCCGTGCCGTGCCGACAATTTCCACAAGTCGGCCCACGGCACGGCAAGGCCCACGTGCCTAGCGTGCTGTGTCGTGCCGGCCCCCCGTGTCTCCCATTTATTATTATTTTTTTTTTAATATTTGCTTTATTATTTTGTTAAAAAAATATTAATTTTATTATAAAAGTATCGTGCCTGGCGGGCCATGCCAACGGGCCGGTGTTCGTGCCGCCCGTCGTGCTCATGCCAAATTTCAATTTCCTTGTTCACGGCACGGCCCACTGGCAGTTCCACGTGCCGTGTCGTGCCGGGCCGGGCCATCTAGCGTGCCGTGCCGGGCAGCCCGCGTGCCAGCCTTACCCATGCCCAGCTTTATGTAGAAGTCCAATTGGTTTACAATGAAGTATAATCCTACCTGCATTATTATCCAACTTAAGTACTATTCCATCCGTCTCATAATACTTGACACAGTTATTATTTTCGTCCGTCCTAAAATACTTGACACGTTACTTAATATGAAATAAGACTACTAATAAAAAAATATTTTTCTATATTCTCTTTGGGACCACAAACCCCAAAACCCAATTAAATCCTTCATCTTCTCTCTCCTCACTACCCCCACCTCCCCTACTTTTTATTTTCTTATGATATAAAAATACAAAAGAGAATTCTTTATATAATAAACAAATATTTTAAATGGACCTATTTATAAGTTTCTTAAACTACGTGTCCACCCCAACGTTTCAAATATTATGGGACGGAGGGAGTAAGCGGAATATAAATTTGAGTCTTTCATTTATCTAAGTTGGGCCTTTTTTTTCATCTTATTGTCCACTAAACCCTATGAGAGTTAGGATAATTAAATGCGCCTATTTTGACGTTTATTATATGGAAATGCGGAAAATGGACGATGTCACTTAGCCAAATTATTTATGTTTGTTTTTTGTTGAAACAAAATAATGATATTTATCTGTGTCTTTGAAATATTGTGTCCAAGTTCATTGGATCTTTTCAAATTATGTCCACATACATCTTGTCTAAAAAAACATTAAACTCTTCATTGTTCCAAGCCACTCTACAGATAAGCTAATCTTGGTGATTGTCTTTAAAAATAAACAAAAAGTATTACGTAAAAAGGATTAAGCTTTATTATGATTTGTCTTAAAACTTTATTATGATTAACACAAAGTTTCATATGTGGCTGGTCACACCGTGTGAACGGGGTTACTTCGTCAGTGTTGTAAGGGTTATTTGGTTGGTGTTATAGGAGTTACTCATATAGGAGTACTACTGTTGAAGCTTAAGAGTTTTGATGATAATGAATAAAAGCAAACTTCAACTAATGTGATTTTTCTAAGTGTTGTAACTAGAACAGGTGAAGTTGACTTTGGAAGTGGAAGAGTAATCTGTCTATGGAGACACAAGGAGAATCCAAGGAAAGTTAAAGAAAGTAGAAGAAGAGTTCCTCAGTAGAACTAACTGAGTTCCCCAACAGGAACATGAAGAGGAGCTCTCTAACAGAAGCTTAACAGCAAGTTGAGAAGATTGACTTGGTCTGCGTTGAAGGCAGCAAGTTCCATAAGAACTTGGTCTGCGAAGTTCCAACAAGACGCTGGAGAGTGAAGGACAGCAGGAACTCAATCATGGTCTGCGTGAAGCCCAAGTATCCTTAACGTACAACGATTGATGAGATAATCTAACTAGAGAATATAAGTCTTTTTGTTAAGTTTATTTATCTAAGGATTATTGTAAATATGTTAAGTTATTTTATGCATGAAATTTATTAAACGTGTGACAAAGCTTGGCAAGCTTAAAAATGGAAATTTTATAAAAGATAAGTTTTCAATTTATGAAAAAGATTTTCTAAAAAGATTTTATAGAATCTGGTTTTACATGATATTATTCTTTTCATAAATTATATCTTTGATAAATTTTCTAAAAAGATTTACATAAAACGTGTTTTATGAAATTAGTAGTTTTATAATTTCAATCTTTTGAAAACCCTACTTTACATACGAGTACTTCTTGTATATAAAGTAGAATTTATAATTTACACAACTTGTGAGTTTATGCATGAAGAATCTGAAGAGAGCTCTTAAGTGTAAGTTTGCCAAGTCTAAACTTCGGATTCCATGTGTAGCTTTCCTATCACATATTAGAGTTAAGAGTTTGTATTGTTTTGGTTTGGGCGAGTGTTTAGCTTATTGCATACAGATTGTAAGCTTCTAGATTGAAGCTGAGTGAGTAGAGATTCTGGGAGTGTCGAGTAGAATCTAAGTCTTGGATTTAGATTGGGTAGCATAAGGTCCTATCATGTAGCAAGTTCAGTAACTTGTGAGAAAGGTCTGATTATAATAGGTTGTAACTAGGAGAGTTTGCCCTATTATAGTGAAGTGTTTTGGTGTTTGAAATCCTTGGAGGGTCGAGGTTTTACTTCTAGTTGGGCCTAGGAAAGTTTTCTCGTAAAATCTTGTGTGCTTTGCTAAGTTCCTTTATATTTTATTTTAATTCCGCAAAAGTAGTTGATGTATTCATTTTATATATTATTTTATCCCCGTCCCGTGATCATAGTTAGGAGTATTTTTGGCTCTTTAGAGCCAATTTTATTACTAATATGTGTTTTCTAGTGTTTTCGTAGTTGTGGTATTATTCTACAGGAAACTGCAGATTTGGGAACATTTCCGGCACTTAGTGGAGCCACCGCGAGCATTGGAGACGAGACGCATTTCTATGATCGTATTCCGAAGCCCAGGACCGTATTTGAGGAATCAATCCGGTGATTAAGGGCTCAATGAGGAGATTTGGAGCTTGGGCAATTCGATACAAGAAGGATGACGAATTGGGCTAAGGTAATAAGGCCCAAAGGACGAAGAAGAGTAAGCCCAAGCATCCGCCCGACCGGGCAGTGCCCTCGCCCTGAGGCGCGCCCGGCCGGGCGAGAGGAGAAGACCATAGGGCGAAGGTTCGCCCGGATGCGCGCCCGACCGGGCGCGAGCAACGCACATTATAGGAAATAGGCGCGCCCGGCCGGGCGATGCCTCGCCTGGCCGGGCGCGTGTTCTATTTAGAATTTTTATTTTCGTTTCTCTTTTTCTTTATTGAGGATTTTAATTTAGTATAAATACGCTTTTGTTAAGTGAGTTTAGGGGCGTCTTTGACACGGACGACTTTTCTTTCTCTCTTCCTTTCTCTCTCCTTCTTACTTTCTCTCTCTATACTTTATCTCTCTACACACTCTTGATTTATAGAATTCATTATTTTCCTTAATTTTGGTAACGATTTCTTCCCTCTTTATTTTCAATAATTTAATTGCTTTGACTTAATTATGTTTTCTTTAATTGCTTTGCTTAGCTTAATATTAAATATGTGTGAGTAGTTTAATTCTAGGGTTGTGGGGATCCATGAATAGTACGAAGGGGTAATTGTTTATTGTTAATGGTTAATGATTGATTAATTTCCTATTGATTGATTTAATGTTATGCAATTAGATTTGCGCAGATTTAATTGTATGAGTTTTGCAATATTGATTCGAGAGATGAGAATCGATGTTTAGGCTTAGTTTCAATAGGCATGTTAATCTATTAATGGTTAGGTCGAGATTCGAGAGATGAGATTTAATACCAGTAGATTAATTATGTGATTATAATACGTAGCGACAGCCCTTTATAATCTGGTTAATTTATGCATTGATAATTGATCGTATGATTTACCCTGGAGTATTATTTATTGGTGAACCTATACCCTAGAGCTTTTTATTATTGATTATTCCTTTGATTTATTTGCTTAGTTTTATTATTAGTTTAATTCACACAAACACAAATTTGGTTACTTAATAGTTTAGATTATAATCGTTGATTAGGAATAAAAGAACACTGTTTCCCTGTGGATTCGACCCTGCTTCCCTATCTGCTTTAGTTAGAGGACTTAGGAATTTCTTTTGATTGGGTGATACGACTAAATCCTGTCAGTAGTCAATAGGAACTCACATACAATTCACCCCCCCTTTTGTAGTGTTCGTCTCAACTAATAGCTACCCACAAGATTCAAACTTACAACCACTAATTCTAAAATTAACTGACTTGTAACCAAGTTATGTCATATGTTATGATAAATTTTAAATACAAAATATTAATATGTAATGAATGACAATATGAATAACAAATTTAATATAGGAACATGAGTCATAAATGAAAACATATTTTGATAATCAACCCCATGTTCCCATGTAAATGTGTTATGACCCGAGGCATTGTCCGGGCCTAAATACTACGAAGTAGTTTTTAATTATAGATGTGCTTTAATAATTGAATAATTGGCAATTGAACATAACATTTCGCTTATCTAGGCATTATAGTACTATATTTTATGCTGTCAACTACTATAATATTCTGAGGTCAAGGAGTGAAGGGATAGTTTAGTCTTTCCATCTCTCCCTTGAGTGGCGGAGGTTCGATCCTCAACCCCCTTTTGTGATAGGAGGCTTCAGTATCTTACCGTTAAAAATAAAAATTTACTATTGTATAAATATCCCATAAGGAAGAAAGTGAGAAGATCCTTGTGTATGTGACACCAAACACATTACCCCAACCCCCTCAATTTCTCACTCTAATTTTTTTTTATACACAATCTAACACTATCACACCCGTTGTAAGGTCACCAGGTACGGTGACGACATTACTTAAGGGTGTTTTTTTTTTTTAAAAAAAATAAAATGTAAAACTCAAATATTAGAATTTTTTTATTTTTTTATTTTTTATTTTATTTTTTATTTTTTTTAAAGTGATGTTACTTTGTTAAAATAAGTACAAAAACTTTTTGGTTTTCTCATTTACCTTTTCATTTAGTGATAACAAATGTAAAATCTTCATGCAATTTTCTCTAAAATGATCTCTCACATCATAAGTAAAATAAAATCTATGCTCTTGGAGACACTATAATCTCCCTCTTTGGTGCATAAATGGTAGGGATTTATTATCCACCTAACACTTGAGTACTTGATGACTTGATAGCAATTAGCAAATATAATCATTGTATCCAATTTGTGGATAGGAGGACTCTTTTTTTTTTTTTTTTTTTTCCTCTTCATCATTTGTATCTTTTTGATAATTTTATCTATAATTTTTTATATCCCATTAATAATGTTTTATTTATAAAATTTAACTCTACATACTGGTATTGATTAATACTTTGTAGATTTTAAATTTGAGTAAGTTTTAGAATGACTCTAAATACACGGGCATTATCATAGTATCCTCAATGTATCGCGTCATGTTGTGTTATTTTTCCAAAACCTCTAGACATGGGCCGCTTTTATGACCCATGTCGACCCACATGTTAGCACCGGGCTGCCAAATCCAGTCTCAACTATTGGCCCAAACCCGAATTGCATCTGCATGTCCCAAAAACAGAAACAACGAATAAGAAATTTTTCTTAGAATTCCCAAATTACAGCCAAAAATGGAAGGAGAAAAAAAACCGATGTCTAAAGTCGATCTCTTTCTCTCTCTTCCCCTGAAAAATTGATGCGAATACAAAGTAAAAATGAGTGATCTCATCTCTTCTTAGAAAGGTAAGTATACGAATTTTCTTTTTATGTATTTAATCGAATACTTTCCCTTTTTATCGATTGTAGAATTGATGGGTGTGTATAATTAGATTATTGTCTTTTTTTTTTTTGGTAAATTTGGTATGAATTGAATATAATTGTTAGCTTGATTTTTTTTTTTTGTTTAAATATTTATTTACAATTAGTTTATGTGAGAAAGACTTGTAATCATTTAGTTCTTAAATTTTCTGGGGTTGCAATCATTGGGGTTGATTTGTGTTTTAGATGTAGCCTTAAAAGATTGCATTTTGAGTATGATCCTGATTTTCAACATCTATGAATTTTTGGGTATTGATGATTAATCATAGGAAGCATAGGAGGAGGAATTTTGGATTTTTACTTATTTTAGAAATCTTTTTTCATTTTTTGGTTTGGTGGGTATGTGCTTGGATTGTGTTACGAGGGTGGAGTGTTTTTATTGATGGATCAAACATTGACATTGTATGCTACACTAGCTGTCACCTGCCCGGTTGGCGGTTGCGATGTTGAAGATCATATGTTTGGATCATTTGGGTTTGCTTGGAGTAAGATTATGGTACATTTGGTTTGTTCATTTGATTTTTGTCCGGTTGAGAAGTTGGTGGTTATGAAAAGCAATATTTGTGGGGAATCTTTTGTGAATTTCAGTGTGCTTTTAGATTGATGCATGATGTAAATAGGAATTCGTGGCAAATGCTTGTTTGGGGCCCTTTGGTATTTATTTAAATTTAAATGAAAATAATCCTGATTAGGCATGTTGAAGAACATTGTGTATATAGGAAAATTAATGTTTGAATAACTATAGTGAAGGGAAAGGAGGGGAAGGAAGAAGAAGGATGGAAGAGAATGTGAGGTGAGGGTAGGGAAAGAGGGATTTGGTTCATTAAAGGGGAAGGAAAATGGATGCCTCCATTTCCTTTCTCTTCCCTTGCCCTATTTCTTATCCAAATAAGTGACAATGTATCCTTTTTTTTCTTCACATTCTCTTGATCTCTTTCCTCCCCTTTCCCTCCAAATCTTGCTATCCAAACACAGTGTTAAGGGAATAAGGGGAAAGGGTGAAGCAATTAAACTCGTGGCTTTCAGGTGTATGATCTAATTTGAATTTTGGTCTTATCAAGTGTAAAGCTGTATCTAAGTGTATTAAGATGAAGAACCTAATTGACTAATTAGCATAAGCAGCAATTAATTGGAGGGGAGCTCTACAAAAAAAACAATTGCCACTACATAACTCATCCAAACGTGACCTATAATTTTGCTATGTAATTAAAAATCTAAAATAGGACCTATATTTGTGATTTTAGCGTGATAAACTCTTGTAGGTTAGGTTGGCTTTAAAATAAACAAGTGAACGTAGAATGTACTTCAGGTCATGTAGGTGTTAGGAGAGATGGCTGAACATGACTCTATGTAGGAGATATACTACCATAATGTGCCCCTTTATGATCCACACATATTTTGTAGTTTCTTTGTTTGCAATATTACTCGTTGGCTCTGACTAAGGTAACAACGATAGCCACTATGACTTTTGTTTTCCTATCAGAGGGAGGAAAAGCCTGTGCTTCCTACTTTCTTCCCACCTTTTTGTTTGATGGAGTCGTTAAGGACTTATATGAGCAGTAGATTCTTTCTTTTCGATGTTATGTACACTGTTGACCTAATGATGTGTTCTAATTCATATTAGAGCAAGAAGTCAATTAAAACCACCACCACCTCCATGGAACCACCTAAATTTATCTAAGCCCTTGTAGATTTTAGGATTTCAATGTGTATGCTGGGGTATTTCTTATCAACTCAGATTAGCAAAGAAGCTGTTGACCCTGTGGTTATTGAATAATGTTAAATCAAACAAAGTTTATGGGGGGTTGGGGTTGCCATACAAGAGTTTTGGATTCGTATCATTGTGTGCAAATTGGTATGAATTAGTTGAATGTGATTTCATTCTTTCTAAAGCTGTCTTATTCAAATTACTTTTGGGTTGAAGTATGTAATAACATCTTTTATGTCAAGAAACTGATATTTCAAGGTTTTGTGAAGATGTTTATAAATTTCATCTGTGGAACTTAGTATCTTCTTTCTTTGTCACTTGTTACTTTATCAGTGACACCTTTGGTGACAAAACCTATTGCTTCATACTTTCTCTACTAGTCTACATTGAGGTTGCTTGTGTTATCCTGCCGAAATCTGTTATATATATATTTTTTTTGGATGAACTGTTAAGAATTAATCTATCTAGTGATGTATGGATAGTTGTTGAATTCTGGTTACTTTTGCTCTTAATGGATCCAAACACAACATTTTGAGATCCATCTTCGTTGAACTCAGGTAACAGAGAAAATATGGTTAATGCTTGGAGTTTGGACGAGATAATGTAATACTCAGGTGCAGATTTTTATTCTCATTATGCTGGAGAGTGAAGTGTCCAAATTGGGGTTTTCAGGGGTCTGCTTCAGTTTGGAGTCACAAAATGTAATTCATCTAATTGTATCGAGTGTTGATGAGGAATCTAACTGGTTAAGTAGCCAGTGGTGGCAATTTGGCAAGGGAGCACTTCAGAGTTAGGAAGAATAGGCGTCACCATGATTTCTCATCTTCACCTTTAATGTTTGTTCTCCGTTTATAGTCATGAAAGAACATGTCCTTTCAATTATCTATTCTTTCCATCAGTGTTACCTAGTACTCCATTCCCCTTGCGAATTGCTTATTGGGAAAGCGCATATTGGAACACGTATATTGGTCTGCTGGAAGTCGGAAACTTTTGGGCTAGTTGTCAATATTATTAGGTAGCATATTGCGATCTTGTACTTGTTTCTTCATACCAAAGCGTACTACGTATTAGGTAGATTCCTTCACTATTTAGAGGATTTTGATTGGCAGTAGATTCTTCATTTTAGCAGTGTTTTGTACATTGGTGTCTTAACTAATACTTTCTCCGTTATTTTTTAGTTGACACGTTTCTTTTATCACGTTTTCCAACACATGATTTTAACAGTTTATAACTCTTATTAGCAACATGTAAATATTATAATAAGTTGATATTAATAAATATTACATTAAGACGATTTAAACAAATTCCCACATGAATATGTTTTATCATATTTATAAATCACAAAGCTAGTCAAAGTAAAATTTGTAACTAGTGTCAAAAGTCAAAACGTGTCAACTAAAAAAGAACAGAGAAAGTATGTTCTTGTTGATTGATTAGAATTATTATGACAACCTCTGTCATACCCAAAAATCCTTATAAAAAAGAAGTATTGAAGCATTGGCAGACTCCGCAGAGTTTTGGGAGACAAAGTAACAAACATACCCCTAATCAATCGAGAATTTAAGAGTGACTACTAAGAGCTTCTGATTGATGAAGTTTACTATAGAGGTAAGGAAAACATAAATGATTTAAGGGTGGTCATTTTTAGTTGATCTTATATGCTTGCTTTGCTGTTCACTTTACATCTGTGTATGCATTTGTTGATGATTGAGGATTCATTTTTCTGTGGCTGTTGTATCATATGCCAATTAATGCATAGGAATTATTTTTTTTTTTGTAATATTATTTGAATCTATCAATATCTATGTATTTGTTTCATTATAATTTGATGTACAGCAGATTCCTTAGAACTGAAGCTTTAGTTTAAGATCATTTTACTCAAATATTTTGTGTTTGAATCTAGGACAAATATATGAAAGACATCAAACAAAAGGGAACCTTTCATAAAGTTCTAGGATCCTTTTTTGCTTTGAATGCTTACTATTTTTTTTATTGACTTAAAGCATAGAGATATATGATCACCTTTGCTTGTTAGGAGGTATTTTTATTGCTTGTTGATATTTTTAAGCTTTTGCACCTTTCAGGAATTGCATTACTCATGCTGTGAACTTGCTTTAAAAAATTTATCATCAAATAATCATTTCTCATGTTACCAACTTTTGAAGATCATGTTTGTTAAATGCATTTTTTCGACCGGAAATGGAGGGAATATGTTTTTATTCTATTCTAAATATGAGGCCTTTATTTGCAGGAATAGGTTGGAGATCATAAAAGCTCTGCAAGGTCTTGAATAAGCAATTCATAAAGACCAACATTGTGGTTCACACTTTGGATCAATGGATGCTGAACTGTTAAACTTTTGGGGCCCAGTCACATCCTCTATTGACTGGTGTGAAAAAAATTATGTTTGTTCATCTTATATTGCAGAGTTTTACAACACAATTTCAAATGTACCAGCCATCATTTTGGCTGTCATTGGCCTCGTAATTGCCTTGAGTCAGGGTTTTGAGAAGAGATTTACTGTTCTTCACCTTTCAAATATGACACTTGCAATGGGGAGCATATTGTTCCATGGAACACTGCAACGTGTGTAAGTAGCTTATTTTTTTTTCTCCTACAATTATCATGTTTTTTTTACCCTAAGTTGTTGGTTATGATTCTACAACATTGCATCTAATGGTATAATTTGGGCATTTAATAGTTCATGACTTCCTTGGTCTGACTAGTTGACAGCTTGATGCTATCTAATGCACCTCGAGTTTTTGGTTTATGGATATCGAGTGTTTGATTTGCCAGGCAACTATATCGATGGGATAATTTTTTTTTGCTTTACTTTTTGTGTCTTCCTTCTTATGCATCTTTCCCACTCTTAATTTTTGACTCATTCTGATGAATCTTGATCGATTCTGCTGTATTGTGCTCATTGCTTCATTTTTAATACCCTTTTTGGAGTCTGATTGAGATATCTGGCATTGGTAGCATCGGTCGACAGTGTATTGACACTTGAATGGACAAAGTCCTACTTTTGGAATGTTTGTTTATGGTAGAACCAGGTTTTGGGTTTTACCTATCTACACCTTTGGTTTTGCTTAATTTTCTTTTTGCTTCAACTGTTGTTTGTTTGTGGGTGTGTGTGTTTCTCCTTTTATTTCATGATTCACTTATTAATTCTGACTAAATAGTAGTCCTCATGACTGCTTTTAAAATCTTCATGGTAATATTCACTCTCCTGAGTTTCTGAAGTAGTTTACTAATAATAATGGAAATCTTCATTCCCTTGTATCAACTCCTTGAAAATAAAAACGCTGTAGATACAACACTAGCAAGTTAGATTTGGACCATGAGGTTTTCTGCTCGTGGGTCTAGCTAAAGGGTGAAGTTGGCTACAGCTCTTTAGTATAGATTAAGCTCAAGTGAGGAGCTATGAGTCTTCGAGTATGTGATGCCATCAGTGCCAAAAAAGCTAATTTGTACCCTCCCACTCCCTCCCCTTCCCCACTAAACAGGATTGCAGCTTCTGGATCGTTTGGAAAAAAATCTTTATTATCCGTGCATGATACATCTCTGCTATTTGTTTTACAGGCAACAACAAAGTGATGAAACTCCAATGGTTTGGGAAATGCTCCTCTATATCTACATTCTGTATTCACCTGATTGGCATTACCGAAGCACAATGCCCACATTCCTCTTCCTCTATGGTGTTATTTTTGCCATTGTTCATTCAGTATTTCATTTCAAGATTAGTTTTAAAGTTCATTATGCTGTGCTCTGCCTCCTTTGCATCCCTAGGATGTACAAATACTACATCCACACAGAGGATCCTGCAGCCAAGCGTCTAGCAAACCTGTATGTGATCACTTTATTCCTTGCAAGCCTGTGTTGGGTTTGTGACCGTGTTTTCTGCGAGCATATCTCTGCTTGGCCTATTAATCCACAAGGACATGCTTTATGGCACATCTTCATGGGCTTTAACTCCTACTTTGCAAATGCATTTCTGATGTTTTGCCGTGCTCAGCAGCGAGGTTGGGGTCCAAAGATTGTTCATTTCTTGGGTCTTGTTCCCTATGTGAAGATTGAGAAACCAAAATCTCAATGAGCTAGACATAATTACACAAAGCTGGTTGAACCTTCTTATGTACTCTGCAGTTAAGGGGCATCTCTACCTGATAAAACCTACTCAGAAGGGACTGTTTACGTAGACTGTTCTGAAGTTTACCTTGCAAACTATAACCATCCTTAAAACAGTAGATGGTTACAGGCAATTCTGTCGAAGCAAATATTCAGCATTTTTTTGTTTTTATATTAGGATCTAGATTAGTCGAAGCTATGGACAGTTTTTTTGTTAGAACTCAAGTATAGGTTCTATAGTTTACAGTTTACTATGTTTATGTCGTCTTTATTTGATGGAAATTGTTAAATTCTTGATTCTCTTGTCAGCTTACTGATACCCAGATTCTGAAAATTCTTGTTTATGCAAGCTTTTCGTGATTTATATAATTACAAATGTTAATTTATTCATTTACATATATAGATGACAATGAGATTCTGATAATTTACTTTGTTTCCTTGTATTGACGAATGTTTTGTCGATCTGCTCTACTGATAGTTGCCTGTCTGGTTGAGCTTATAGTACTGTACAAGTGATGCTGAAACTCAGTTGGGTGACTTGGATCATATTGTGAATTTGGTAGGGATATGACTATATGATAATGACTTTTGGTACTGTTGGTTGGAACTCTTATATGACATCTTTTGTGTTTTAGTTGTTTGTAATTAAAATCTTCATAAATGGTACTCAAAACTTAAGATCACATCCCATATACTTTTTCACGATATATTTTTTATTGATTAGAGGCTTGACCCATTGAATAACTCACTAATTAGCTGATTTTGTCGTTCTTATGCAAAGTTTAATACCGATACCCATCTGTATAACAAATCACTGATAATTCAAAACTGCTTTAGAGGTTTACAGAAAATGGCAATAAAATGTGATTTATCAATAATTTTTCCTGAGAATATTATTAAGTTGTGTTCTTTAATGAAATCGGACAACTTCAACAAACTACGGAGTACTTTAAAGTTTAAATTGAGCTCTTTCATATTCCGTACTCAGATAAGATAATTCCCTTGGCGGTCTTGCAGTAAGTTGTACCAGAATATGATATTTCCACAGAAATTAATCAGACATCATCTATGTGACTAGTTTAGTCAGGATATGAATTCTACAGCTTTACAAGTCCTGATATTCCATTGCCTTATGAAAAAGTTCACAATATCAAACATATAGTGTCTTATTTTCTGTCTGAATTAAAGCAGACAATAACCAGATTTATCTGCTCCTCTCCCTTAGCACAACGTAACTCTTGTTATCACTCTTCTGTATCTTAGATATCCGCTTCAAAATTTCAGCAAACGCCTTCTTGTCCTGCAGAAAAGAGAAAACAGGCTTGAGGAACAGACTCAGACAAAGCATTGTTTTTCATTTGGTATAGCTAAGTATGCCACAGAAATATACAGCTATGCCAGCTACGAAAAAATGAGAAGTGAAGCGGCCCAAAGGAAGACATCAGAAATTCACATCATAATATAACCACATCATTAAGGTTCAATACTATGCACAACAATGAGTAGCCATTTAAACAAACAGCCAACAAAAACATATTATTTGATCATGGACAACTGATATTGGTGAGGCAACCTTTTGTTTGAAGAGGAAAAAGATAACATACAAATGTATTTTGAGGATTATGAATTTATGATGATTATGTCAAGATACAAATCATAGCCGCGATTGGACATAGACTTCTAACAGCACCAAAATTCAGATCCGTGCAATTTAATCATAACATCATGTACCCAACAATGTGCCTCAAGTAAAAATGAAATAATATATTAATATGTACCTCTGGTGACTTTAGTCTTGATTTAAATGTGGCCACAAGATCAGCAGTGGTTACAGGCGCTTTTTGCAACAACACAACTCTAATTTCTTCTTCCGAGACGGGGCCCTGAGCAGGTGTGCCTGAAGTAGATGTACCAGCCTTTGTGGACGATGGTGGTGTAACTTTTGGGGCCCCACCAATTTTTGATGCATTTTCCTTTGCGGCTGATTTCACATCCTACCCCCCAACATCAAAATCAGTCGAGTGAAAGGAACTAAAAATGACAAATTACATCAACACTATAACAAGCGAATGAAAATGAGGCCAGGTGAGAAAGCGACTTACATTTTCAGTTTTCACCTTCTTATGAGGAGCTGCACTAGAAGATTTTGTATCATCACCATTTTTCCTCTTTCCTTTTGCCGATTTTGAGGCAGGAGTTGCCCGAGAAGATCCTCCAGGAGCTGGTTTTGCAGGGCTGCTATCAGCTGGCTCATCTTTAGGGTCCTTCAACTTCGGAGCTAAAACGGGAGAAGGGCGATCTTCCTCATCCTAACATTATATAATTGATTGGAGAGAATGCAACAAAATTTCAGATAGAAAAAGGCCGACTAGCATTAATGTCTATGAAGAAAATAATATGCAGCTACTATATACTTACGTCATCATCATCATCCTCTTCATCTTTCTTTTTTTTGGCTGAGCTGTCATCTTCTTCATCTCTGTCAGACTCATTAAGCCCATTGGCCTGTCCCTGAAGCAATTTTTTCAGCTCCTTCCCTGATTTGCTCAGTCCTCCCTCCTCTTCATTAGCCTCATCGTCATCCTCGTCCTAAAAACCATTATGAGTATCATTCAAATAAATATAATAATAATTCAATTTGCAAATCCACAAATGATATCACTTCAGTCAGCCAAAAGGAGCAATTCTGAAATCCCAGTGAACATCATTTACTCTTAAAATCAGATTATAATCCCTAATTGAACTTCTTCAGAGTCTAGACACAGGGGCCCAGTTGATTTACATAATTGTTACTGTGTGCACAATTATGGAGGAAAGGTAAGAATCTTGGAATTGAAAATAAAAAAAGCAAAGAAACGAAATGTACTTTTGCCTCTAGTAGCATAATGAGCAGGGGCTGCTAAATCAGAAGCCAATCCACTAAACTTCTAATCATGCTAACCATCCATAGGCTCAGCACAATACCAAAAACCAAGTCCAAATAAAGTAACAAATGACTATATAACAGATAACTTAGGGCGCGGTTTATCCACCAGATTTTTACTAATCTTAACTTATCTGAATTAGACCCTATTAAAACTTATTTAGTTGTAATTTAAACTTGAGTAACCCTTATTTTTCATAATACAAATGAAAATAAGTTGAGCAGAATAGGCCCTTACAGAAACTGCTTTAGGGCAGTTCAATTTGGATGTATAAAATGGTTCATTGAACACAAACCTGCTTAATCTCTGGGGGTGCAGGAACTTCAGGAGCTAGGTCTTCCCGCTCCTCAGGATCATTACCAACAGCTTCATCGTCATCAGTGAAAATTTCTTCATGCTCCCAGTCATCACCTAGATGATTCCAAACAAAAGCAACCAAAAACATGATTAGTTATTGATGTGTTTCATTTTTACCCCTAAACTAGTCTATTTGATAAGAAGACCCCAACCAATCATTGAAAGTGGAAGGGCTCCTTCAAGGACCCTAACCACATTACCTTCCACTGCCACAACAGCAAATTGTACCATTCTTAAGTGCCGGAAGGTATCAATACAGCTCTAAAGATCGGTTAAAATGCTCCTATTAACACTTGATACCTTTAAATCAAAAGTAGGGGAATTCTTATAATAGAAGTATCTGATACATAACAGTGCCTGACACAAGAGTCAATACACACCACAGTGATTAGGGATACATAACATAACAGTGCCTGACACATGTTTTCAACAATGGACCCTTCCCCTCCCCACCCCACCCCACAACACCCTGGAGCCAGGGTGGGGGGGGGGGGGGGTCAGCTCTAGATATGAAGTTGATCAAATGATCAGATGTTGGCAGTCCTGTTGCCCAGATTATGTCAAAAAAATAATAATGGCATGTACTGACATGCAGTTAGATGTGGCTGACGAAATGCTGATTCAGCTTAATAGCAAGAGCCATAAACATCGAATATCATCACTATCAGAACTAGGACAAAGGTAGGTACCCAGAAATTTTAACATTGACCATCTTATAAGAGTTTAGGACGATATGGTTTAAAGTCTGGAACCACAAAAAATAATAAATGATGACAACAGATGTAAAACAACACAAATTCCTCACCTTTCTCAATATTATCATCTTCATCATCAAAGTCACCTCCAGCAGGGCTTTCATTGCCGTCGTCATCATCAGCTCCATTGCTAGATCCAATTTTTGGCTTCCTATCTGCATCCTCTTCTCCTTCATCCTCTCCCTTTTCTGAAGCATTACCCTCCTTTTCAGCAGTTGATTTCTTGCGACCTTTCCCTCCACCACCAGTAGGAATATCTTTCACAAGATTCGCATCAAAGGTCGGGAATGCAGCAGCCCCATTGCTGGCTGTCTTCATCATCCATCTTTCGTAACCATCAACAAACTTTCTCCTATTTTTCATCTTCTCCTCTGCCTCTTCTAACGTAAGTTGCTTATATTGTGCAACCTTATTAAAGTTGTACCTGGCATAGCCACAAGTAATCACAAACTGATTTTGGATTACTAGTTTTGGGGGTGGTGGGGAATGAGGGGTGAGAGAATGCCAATAATTTATGCAATAAGAAACTAAGAGCAGCCCAAAGTGTTATCATGGAATCAAATTTCACGCACATCACCACATTATAAGGGTTATTGACGATTGAGTTACTGTGAATGTGATATCAATAACATCTGAGATATAAAGCCCTGACAGCTATAGCTGTACTGTAAAGAATAGACAAGACGAGTGCAATCATTAATCACAACATACAGTAACTGTCTACACGGTATAATCTACTTTGCACGGTACGGGTACGCCAGTTTGGCTGTATTTCACGTGTCGGGTCGGGTACGGGGTACGACACGGGTATTGCGGTACCTGACACGGTTTTTTATGTGTCCAGTTTTTTTAAAAAAAATTGGGTACGGGGTACGGGCCAATTTAAATGGGTACGGGCCGTTTTATTTGTATTTTAACATAATAGGTTACTTTTCCTTCTTTTCTCCCCAAATTTTCATATCTTCCAACTGCCTAACCTACTCTAGCAGACAAACCCACTTTCTCTCTCTTCTTTACTCCCTGCTCTCATAGAGATGAACAAAAACTCCTATTTATCCTTTTGTTTTTTCATTTCTTTACATTAATCTTAAACAATCAAGTAATTAATAAGTTAGCTTTGTTGTTAATTTGCTGCTCTGCCAATATTCCTCTTCAATCGGCAACCACCGCGACCACTCTCACCGACTCACCGCCCACACGTAGACGGCAGTCCGCCTACGCAGCCCATTACAACGCCTACTCTCTGTTGTCTTTTGGGTGTTCTACAATCTAGATCTCAAAATCTCAAGGTATGATTATTTTTTTTTTTTTTTAATGATTATTGTTGATTATTAGTTGTGTATGTATCACTGTGGGACTATAATAATTTGACTACAAAGTATAGAAATTTGGTTTATTTTCATTTTGATTTGAGTTGTGAATGTACAAAACAATTGAACATTATTTATTTATTTTTTTACTGTTATTTTGTTAGGAAATTTTTATGACTTATAAGATTTATTTTATTTGCCTTTTCTATATGTAATTGTTGCTACCTAGTTAGAGGATTGGATTTTTATTTTAATATGCATGTTTTGCCTTCATACACAGATTGATTGATAATGTCCAGTGCTTCGGCCTCATGTGATGCTAATAGTAGTTCTACTCCTAGTGAGGATGATTTGTTATACCCTTTGTGGAAGTTTGTGGTTAAGGGTGATAAGTCATGAGGTGGTGGGGGGAATTATAGTTGGAAATGCACCTTCTGTAAAGAAATTAAGTTTGGCTCATACACTAGAGTAACAGCTCATTTGCTTTGTATATCCGGGAAAGGGGTTAAAACTTGTACAAATGTGACAACTAATGATATCAATAAAATGAAAAACCTTGAACATTAACATGAAGTTTTTAAGGAATCTTTGCAAGCCAAAAGACCACCTTTGCCTAACCAACCTATCTCCTCTAACAATTCTGAAGCTACTTCTATGCAACCACCATCTTCATCAGGAAATGTAAAGAAGAGGAAAGGTAGTAATCCAGTTTTAGATTGCTTTAATATGCAAGCTCATAAGCAATTAAATGCAGGGATTGCTAGGATGTTTTATACAGGAGGATTGCCTTTTAATCTAGCTAGAAACCCATATTATGTGAGTTTTTATACATTTGCACCAAATAACACTCTTCCCGGATATACACCTCCTGGATACAAGTTGAGAACTACTTTGCTTGATGAGGAGGTAGAAAATGTTAACAGGTTGTTAGAACCTAAAAGAGGTACTTGGAAAGTTAAAGGGGTTAGTATTGTTAGTGATGGGTGGAGTGATCCACAAAGGAGGCTATTAATTAATATCATGATTGCTTGTGAATCTAGTCCGATGTTTGTAAAAGCTGTTGATTGATGTGGTGAAGTGAAGGATAAAGACTTCATTGCCACAATATTGAGTAAAGTAATTCATGAAGTTGGTCCCCAAAATGTTGTTCAAATTATCACCGATAATGCCAGTAATTGCAAAGCTGCTGGAGAACTCATCGAGGGTAGATATCCTCATATATATATTGGACTCCATGTGTAGTGCATACACTTAATCTACGGTTGAAAAGTATGTGTGCTGCTAGAAATTCTCTAAACAATGAAGAAGTTTATGATGAGTGTCATTGGATAACTGAAGTTCATAGTGATGCTTTGTTTGTCAAGAATTACATAATGAATCACCAAATGAGAATTGCTATGTATAACAAGTTGTCAGCATTGAAATTGCTATCAGTTGCCGACACTCGTTTTGCCTCAATTATTGTTATGCTTAAAAGGTTTAAACTCCTTAAAAATGTTCTTCAAGCAATGGTTGTTAGTGAGGCATGGTCTACATATAGGGATGATAATCGTGGACAAGCATCGGTGGTAAGGGCAACAATTTTAGATGAAATTTGGTGGGATAAGGTTGATTATATTCTTGAGTTTACAAGGCCTATCTATGATATGATTAGATAATGTGATATGGACAAAGCTTCTCTTCATTTGGTGTATGAAAGGTGGGACTCCATGATGTTGAAGGTAAAAGAAGCTATCTACAAGTATGAGCACGAGACTGATAATGAGGAATCTAACTTATTCAATGTGGTTCAAAACATTCTTGTTAGCTGTTGGAGTAAGGGTAGTACTCCACTCCATTCCTCAGCACATTGTTTAAATCCAAGGCAATATCTTAATAATTGTTTATTATTCTTCCTTTATATTTGATAAATTCTTATGTTGTTTGCTTTATTTTTATACATAGGTAAATAGGTTTTATACCAATGAGTGGCTTAATAAAGATCATGGTCATGTTCCTCCTAATGTTGACAATGAGATCTCTACTCAAAGGTTGCAATGTTTTAGAAGACTTTACCAAGATCCCCGAAGAAAGAAGGAAGGTTAACACGGAGTTTGCCATTTTCTCTCAAAGATCGGAAGGTATATTTAAAGATGTAGATTGCTTGCATGATAAAGATGTAGATTGCTTGCATGATATGGCTATGATGGATGCAAAAAATTGGTGGGCTACTTATGATTCACAAGTTCCCATGCTTCAAAGTTTAGCCTTCAAGTTGCTAGGCCAACCTTCTTCATCCTCTTGTTGTGAAAGAAATTGGAGCACTTACAAGTTCATTCACTCTTGTACTAGAAACCGACTTTCTCCTAATCATGCCCAAGATTTGGTGTATATTCATAATAGCCTTCGTTTGTATTCTAAAAGAAGTGAAGCATACACTAAGGATAGAACAAAGACGTGGGACGTGGGTGGTGATGAGCATGACAATCTAGATGATGTTGGTTGTCTTGAGATGGGCAAACTCGGGAGAATTTTATTCTTGATGATGGTTTGAATGATAATGTGTTTTTCTCTTCATTAGATTATGGTTGTAAAACTTGAACTTCGAATCTTTTATTATCTTGTAAGACTTACAACTTTATTATACTATTTTCTATGTTTAGTAAGTTTAGTAAGCCACTACCGCTTACAAATATTAATGTTTGTTGACTTTAATTCTTCTTCTTTTTTTTTTTTTTTTTATATATATATATCTTGTTTGAGTTTATATGGATCAATTTTCTGTGATTAGTTGGAAAATTCATCAAAAATCCTTTATTCAATAAAAAAAAATTCCGTACCCATGTCCTACTTTTTTCTAGTGCCGAATCCCGTACCCGAATCATGTCCGTACCCGATTCGGTGCAACCTAGGGTATAATTGGATACTACATAAAGGACACAGTTTCAAACTTTCAACTATGGTCAAGTTAAACTTGAAATTTTGAAAAAAAATGCAATTCTTAAATTGTACGAGTAAAATTTCACATACCAAGAACCAGCTGGTATTGCAACAAACTCTTTGGCCTGCATCATTAGGAGATAATATGTAGCCGATTGTGCACCTTCCAAATGACCCTGGAACTGTGATTGCCCAGTTTCATCTTCCAGCATCCAAGGCTTATTCTTTAACTTCTCCTATTGAAGATTACACATCAATGTTACTATAATTCACATGGAGCAAGCAGCAAGAAATGTCAATAACTTGTCCAACATGACTGCACATCAAGTAACCTACAAACACAAGATGAAAGCAATATAACTCCATGTTTTCAGATAACATATATACTAAATGGCTGCCTAAGACCATCACTATTATTACTTTTGAATTTTTGATAGTTAATAGTTAAACGATAGATACCAAACTATAAACCTTACAAAGACATATGGAAGAAAGGAACAATTTCAACACCAAAAGACAAATAAGATTTCAAATCAACACAGGATAACTTCTTTACAATGCAAAATAAGCTAATTGTCATGTGGGCAAGTCAGGGAGGTAAGACTCTGAAGCTAGACATTAAAGCTAACAAATTGAATATCAAAAAGACTTGCAGGTTCAACCCAAGTATATCTACATACAAATAGAAGGATAGATAGCAAGGGTTTAGAACTTTAAATCTCCAATCCCCAAAACAAAAGTAAAAAGAGTGCACAAAACTGTCTGAATTTATGCGGTACACAGAATGAACTATATTAAATCTTTATTGATAACAGAGTTCTGTAATTTAGAGCTGATGACTGAACAATATTAAAAGATGCCAAGTGTCGCATCGTTAAATTAAGGATAAAAATTGGCAACAATAACAAATAAGCAATTAATTATATAAATGAATATATCTGGTAGCTTTACATGTATTGGCATGATAGTATATCATGTTCACAAGTATAGAAAATAACAAATCAATAAGAAGGTATAGATAGATACAACATCGTGCATAAGGTAGTAAATTTCAAAATTAATCCGTGGATCTAACATCTTGTACTCTCTTCGAGCCAAATCATTTGCATTATTTTGACTTTCAGGATTATATTTTCAAATTAAGACCACTAGTTTATTGAAACACGTTTCAACATTTACAGCATAAGGAAAGCTTTTTAGGCTGTATACAAATATTCTGTGCATACACGTAATACATGACCCTGGTAAATACAGCTACATTAGACAATACAAAAACAATCACAGCCTTATTTAAAAGAACGTTCTATTATATCATACTCCCTCCGTCCTTAATTGTTTGCCCATTTGACTTTTCACGGCCTTTAAAACGTCTTAAAACATAATATCTCCAATTCTATACACGCAATAATTATAAAAGTTAAATATTCTTAAAATAGACATTGTAACGAATCCAACAAGGTCCCACATGAATACATTAATTCTTATAGCTTAGAGATGATTTTAAAAGTTTGACCCAAAAAATACAATGGGGCAAACAAATAGGGACCGAGGGAGTAATAGAAACTGAAAATCTCAATAGTGTCAATCATGTCACTCTACATACACTTGAGAGGATGTAATGCAATATTAGTCTTCTAAAGTTTTTCACAAATACTCCCACCTGAAGTAGTTTACCTTAACAAAGTAATATATTGAGTGACAAGAAACCTTTTTAAAGTTTGAAAAAGAACCCTAGATTATCTTGACAAGTGGGTAGCACAATTCATTAGTAGAGCAAAATAAACACCCCCTCCTTCCCTTGATTTCAAACTTATCATTTGAGATGCCTTAAAATAAACTTCATATCTGCTTTTAACTTATAGCTAATAATTTACATAATAACTTTTCCTCCTCTCCCCACCCCATTGATCCTTTTCTCCTTTTTATCGAACAGATTATCATTTGAAATTTCACTATACATTTAACAACCATTCTTTATCTTCACCTCAAGCCAAAATGTAAAGTTCGTGATGGGACGTTCATATACATAGCAAGATTGATGTTTAGATCACCCTTCTTACTTTACTATTAATTGTGATAAGTATAAGCAAAACCTTATAACCATATCTTCAATTGTGCTCTGTCCATACATGCAACATTTTCAAGTTTTGACTGAACTAAATTCTTCATGCTAACACCATTCACTTTTAATTTAATCCCCGTCCTCCTTCCCCCAAAAGATAGCACATACAAATGCACGAAAATGATTGCATTAGTTTCATTTTCATTGTACTTGTTCGTCTAGCATCCACAAAGCTGTCCATCTACAATCACTTGTTCAGCAAAAGCTAAACCACTCAAAAAGCACAAATCGCAGCAACTAGAAGCCATAAACATATTGCTTTCCCGGGTAGCAACACATCAACAAACACCCTTTCACCACTGATCACGTACTCCCATACAAGCTTCAAGCGTGCCCCAAGGAGCACCTTATCAACCCGGCCACCTCTACTTCAAACACGAATCAAATGACCAAAACAGTTGTGACTTATACCGGCATTTGACATATTGATCAACTCTCAAAGAACTCTTTAGAACAATTAATTACCTAATTACAATAGAATTTACTCTTCCCCAATCAACCATATTGTTTCCCCAATCCAAGATAAACAACCAATAAAGAAAAGTGACCAAAAACCCTAAACGTTAATTAATCAAATTGTATACCCAATTCTAAAATGAACTCTTCCCCACGAAACTTAAAAAGATTTACCTTCAAAGTATCGGTAATCGGGCGACCTTGAAGCCCTTCTTTCTGCAAAGTCCATTTATTCTCCGCACTCTTCTTCTTGGAGAAATTCGGCAATCCAGTCGGAAATCTCCCAATGAAGTAATTCTTATCATTGCTCGAATTCGTCCTAACATTATACTCCTACAAAATTCATCAATCAAAAAATTCAAATTCAATCAATCCAACAGAAAATGAATCAAATGATGATAAAGATGAGAAAGAAAATTGCGCACGCGAATCAATCGAGTGATAGGGGTGCCACATTCGAAGCATTTAGCGCGATTTTCCGCCATAGTTTTACCGCAGTTAGAGCAAAGCGTCAAATGCTTGCAATTGCTGCCATAGAGATCGCTGCTTGATCCGCATCGACCACATGTTGGCTTCAGCATCAAATCGAACGACATAGCTGAGATTTTGTTGCAAGAATTTCTGGAAATTGGAAGAAGATTATTGGGAATTAGGGATTATAGTTTGAAGAATTAGGGTTAGTAAGTTTCGAATGATTTTTGAGCAATGTTTTTTTTTTTTTTTTTTGTTTAATTTTGGAGAGGGAGTGAGAGATTTGTGTTTGTACTCCGTATTAATTTGCCACGAAATGAGCTCGATTTTGGTTTTTATTTACAAGTCGGCCGATAAAATGATGGAGCCGTGGTTGTCGGAAAGAGGAGTATTGAAATACTCGTAATAGCATAGTGCCCGTGCATGATTTATAAAATCAAGTTATTCGGGTTAATTGTCGATACAAAAGTAATGGATTGTAATTTAAATAGTATTTTATGTTATTTGCATTTCTTTTAATTTTAATAAGGAAAAATTGCGAGGAAGGTACTTTTAAGGAGTCGACCTTGTGAAAAAGGTCCTTTTATGAAAAAGGTGGCACAAAAGGTCCTTTAATGACGTTTGGGTTGCGTTGAGGGTCCTTTGACCAAACTCCGACGTTGGCTTCCGTTTTCCGGCCAAGAAAAAGTCACATGCTGTGCACGTGACCTCTTAAATCTGAGTTTTTTTTTTTTCTTTTTTTCCCATTTCCTTCCCTTTCCCTCTTCTTCCACGATTTCCCCTTTTCCCTTTCAATTTCCCTCCCTTATTTCCTTTCAATTTCCCTCACTTGGGAAGCTAAGAAATCATGTAAATTGACTAACACAATTTTATATTCTTCATAACTACATAACATAGACTAGTCACATACATGCCAAGATTCAAGAAGACAATAGTGGAGGGAACTCCATGGGAGGCCGTAGGAGGCAAGCTCAAAAATGGGAACCTATTATTTTTTCAACCAAATTGCATAAAATTCACACCAAATTGTTCACAATTCAATATACAATCAAGTGGTGCAAAGAATTTTGAGAATAGCTTCACCAAATGAAAACCCCCAAATCGATTTTTTAGATTTCTTCGTGAAATTCGTCCAAAAATTCGATTAATGTGCAAGAAGGACAAGAAACGTTCATAGCATTTGCATTCAAACAAGGAAATCAGAATATGATATTTGAATGCAAATATAAGAATGCGAAAAGAAAACGAAAGCAGAGATTGAAAAAAAATATATGATATTTGCAAAATTTTGCTGCTTTGAAGAAGAGGGAAAGGGAAGGAAAAGGGAAAAAAAGAAAAACAAAAAAATCAGACTTAAGAGGTCACGTGCACAACACGTGACTTTTTTTTGGCCGCAAAACAGAAGTCAACGCCGGAGTTTGGTCAAAGGACCCTCCACACAACCCAAACGTCATAAAAGGACCTTTTATGCCACCTTTTTCATAAAAGGACCTTCCCGACAAGGTCGACTCCTTAAAAGGACCTTCTTCGCAATTTTTCCTTTTAATAATGTTATTTTATTAATTGAAAAATAAATGAATAATGCTCCACATACCTATACAAGAGAAGTAGACCAATTTATTTTCTAACTCCGTAGGAAAAAAACTAAAATTTTCTTGTCATATCATTCGCTTTACCAACTACAATCTAATACATGTTTTACCCGTCGCATTTCACCAAATTTATAGACACGATAATAACCATGCATTTGACCCACTAGTATTGTATATGATATATGGAGTAATATTTATAGTTAGGAATTAATTGATATGGAGAATATTTTAATTTAGATTTGTAAAATACGTGAATAAAAAATATCATAATTATATGATTTGGTGAATATTGTATATAATTTATTATAGGTGTTGACGACATTGACAAAAATAAAAATAAAAAATATATTTAAAAAAGGGAGGGGGAGTTTTGGAGGGAAAATACATTACCAGGAAGTGACATGTGTCATTCCTATTGTCTGTTTTAGTGTTATGTTATTAATTGATGATTGATAAGCGAAATATATTTTTTTGAGGCAAATGAGCAAAATATATTTCTCAAATGACAAAGTTGTATTTAAATAAATGCATCATTTTATTCACAATTTATAAGTGTAATATTTTAGGGTAGTGGTTTTGCCTACAATATTACAAATTTACAATTTTAGCCTCTTAATAACAAATTATATTTATCAAGAAGAGAAAATAGGTCTCCTTGAATTGAAAGGTGGTTTTCTAGAGACTCTAACCAATACAGTGAAATGATCAAAGTTATGCATAAATGAATAAGTCCGTCAAACTAATGTATTTCATATCTCATTTCATGAAGAAGTATGAACATAGAAAATATGTCTATAATCTAGACAAATGTACTCATATCATATATTGTCTATGTTTCAAAATACGTACGTACTTAGTTGCACATTTTCGATTTTGTGAATATTGCATGCAATTTAAAAATGATATTCTGTATATAATAAGTGTAATCATCTAGAATTCTTACTTCTCTTACCTTAATGCATAAAGGGGGGGTCAAGAGTTGGCTAAGTGGTAGCAAGAGATCACATGAGAAGGGCGATAGTGGAGGGTGTGCACATGTTGTCGTGACTTATGATTTGAGCCTTGCAAGAATTATTATTGCCTTTATTGGGTTGGAGTGACTCCCAATTCATTGTCGAAGACATATTTTGTATTTATTTAGAATTGTTTTGAGTCATTGTCTTTCACTTTATATATAATGTATACAGTGTATAGTATAAGACGTGAACCTAAATTCGGCCCGAGCCACATTCGAATAATTAGGCCATATTAGATCTGTATATATTACAAGTCCGGTCTTAAGTCTAAGGAATAAACTATAGAGTAATTCTATATTCCAATCCCCATCGGATTAAAATCGAATATGAAGTATATCTAGTTTGGACTGGAAACCTAGTTAATGTCTAGGTTGCACCGATACGGACACGGACACGGACACGGGTACGATACGGGCACGCCAAAATGGCAATCCTAAAATAGGGGACACGGGTACGGCAAATAACAAGACAAATAATATATAAAAAAAAACGAGATTTTGACAACCTATTCAACAAAACACTAAATAATTAACCTTAAAACAAGTCATTTGCCGTAGCTAAATAATATTCTCCTAATTCACATACAATAATGTGCTATGAAATGTGTTTTGAAGGCGCTCGTATTATAACTCTTACCTTTTTCTCTCATACTTTACCTTAACTTTCTAATTAAAAAAGTTAAAAAAAATGAGGTGACATATCAAAATGCAAACCGGATCGTATCATAGTAGGATACGATTTGTCTCAAAGTGTCTAAATATATTAAAAAAACCGGATGCAGTTTTTATGTGTGTCCGTCCTGTGTCGAACGAGTGTCGGTGTCGGACACGGACACGATTGTTGGACGAAATGTCTGTGGCATCCTAGGTTAATAACTTAATATACGAATATGTATACATTTTTTTCCATTTTTCTTTTGGTTTTTTCAAACTAAAAAGTGGAACTCCTTGAAAGAAACCTAGCCTCACATTTCCACTATTTACTTTGTATTGTACACTGTGGTCAGTGATGCTGCCTTCTTTAATATCTTCTTCCCTCACCGGCGACCCACCGAGAACGGCGGCGACCGGTGGACGGAGACCCACCTAAGAACGGAGGTGACCGGACAAAAATGAAAGGGAAAAAAGACTGAGGTTCAAAGTCGATATCTTTCTCTCTCTTCCCTTGAAAAATTGATGCATTAGAAAGTAAAAGTTCAGTGATTTCATCTCTTCTTATAAAGGTAAGTATATCATTTTTCCTTATGCGTAGTTGATCAGACACTTACCCTTTTTCTTGATTGTAGAATTGATAGGTGTTTGATTAGATTATTTGTTTTTTTTTTTTTGGTAAAATTTTTATGAGTTGAGTTTAATTGTTAGCTTGCACTTTGACTTTTTAATCAAATGTGAGAAAGATTTGTAATCATTTGTGTGTTAGCCTTTAAAAATTGCATTTTGAGTATGATCTCTGAATTTCAACATCTATGAATTATAGGCATTGATAATTACTCATAGGAAACATAAAAAGAGAAATTTTGGATTTCGAACTATTTTAACCTTTTTATTTTGGGTTGGTGGGTATGTGCTTGGATTTTGTTTTACGGGTGTAGGGTGTTTTTATTGCTGGATTAAACATTGACATTGTATGATAATAAGATATACTAAACATTGACATTATTGATCAGACACTTATTGCTGCCCAGTTGCGATGTTGTAGTCTTGTAGATAATGTGTTTTCTTCATGTGGGTTTCTTTGCTTGGAGTAAGAAGATTATGGTACATTTGGTTTGTTCATTTGATATTTGGTCAGTTGTGATGTTGGTGGATATAAAATGCTAATATTTGTGGTGAATCTCTTGTATATTTGTGTGTTTAGATTAGTGCATGATGTAATTAGGAATTCGTGGCAAATGCTTGGATGGAATCCTGTAGTATTCAAACTCCAATGAAAGTAATCCTGATTAGGCATGTTGAAGAACTACGTGTATAGAGGAAAACTAAGGGGAAAGAGCGAAGCATTCAAACATGAGGTTTTCAGGTTTTTGATATAAATATGAATTTTGGGGTGTTACCAAGTGTATAGCTGTATCTAAGTGTATCAAGAGCTCATGAAGAATCTAGCTGGCTAAGAAACATGGCTAAGCAAAAATTTGGAGCTCTGTGAAAAACGATGGCCACTCGGCCTCTCCATAACGAATTCAAAAGAGACCTATATTTAGCCATGTAATTGGAAGTTTTAAAAGAGATTTATTTTTGTGATTTCAACATGATGAACACTTGCACGCTGGCCTCAAAGAATCAATTGAACAAAGATAGTATTTTAGGTCATGCAGCCGTAGGAGAGATGGGTGAACCTGAGTCAATGTAGGGGACAGACTATACCACTGTTTGCCCTTTTGTATTTCATACAATTTAGTAGATTCTTTGCTAGCTTCTTTACTTGTAGGCTCTGCCATAGTTCTAAAGCTTTGGCTGGGAGGAACAACGGGAGCCACAATACTTTTCCCATTTCCACCTCTTTTGCTTGTTTTCCCATCAGATAGAGTAAAAGCTTGTGCTTCCAACATTCTATAATGTCTTTTGGTCTTAAGTACAATATACTTTATACTTTGAGTGTTACAATTTTACGGGTTAAAATGGTATGGGAATTTATTTTTACCCGGTGTCTAAAGTTTTACTCCCTCCATCCCTCAAGATCACCCTTAACGCATTTTTTATTTTGTTTACTTTTGGTTGAGTTAAGTTGATAAGAGACAAAAGTGATGGGGTGAAAAGTATTTTATGTAAGAATAAAGACGATGGAGCCGAAGGAGATAATGATGAAAAGTAAGGCTTTTTGGTGGATGCTTATGCTTACCCTTCATTATTATATGCTTCATTAGTATCTCCTTCCGCTTCATCAACTTTTGGCAGATGCATATGCTCCCTTTTTCCGATTTCTCTCTTTCTTTCTCTTTTTTATTTTTTTTTATTTTTTTATTTTTATAATATTTTTTTAATAAGGTGAAGGAATTATATAAATCAAGAGGACCATGATCGGAAACTATATTAAATTTTAGACAACAGGTTCAAACTAATTCCCATGTCATTTTAACCATTAAATTTGTCTCACTTACAATATACAGCATATCGTACTTAGATATTATTATTGCTTTAAGCTTTTGCACCTTTCTTTTGTTGTAGATATACACTACTGGTATGCCATTACACTTCGTATGAAGTACTTTGCTGGTGTGGTGTTTCTATTTGTAAGGCATTTGATTGTGGGTTCATTGAGAGTTGAACCGTTTCATTGTTGTCCAATTGCCGCATATCTGGGATTTCCATCCTTCTATTGTTGTTTCTACTCTCATCATTGCTGTCATACTACTGTTACATTATTTTTAACTTACAGCAGAACTTGCATCACTCGTTTTGTAATTTTGTTTTCATATATTTATCATTTTGTTTTCACATATTTATCATTAAATAATTAAATGATGGTTTCTCATGTTTTCAACCCTTGGAAATCATCTTACTCATTATTGAGGTAGTATCTTCATTATTATTCTTGGATGATTCTCAGGCAATTAAATAGTTGTATGATTTAGTTTAGTGCTCATTCTTCCTGTTGCTTAAGAAGACACTTGCTTTCTCAGCATGAGACTTTCTGTGTCATCAAGTCTAGAACTCCGTGACATAACTCTTTGTGACTATTGTCAAGTGCTTTGTCAAGCCTTTTTTTTTCCCCTAATTTTATTTTATTTTAATTTTTGCTTTTGTCTTGAGCTCTTCACTATGTGTTAAACATACATTTTTTTGACTGGGAAAAGGAGGGAAGATATTTTGTTCTATGCTAAATATTAGGCCTATATTTGCAGGAATAGCTTGGAGATCATAAGAGCCCTGCAAGGTTTCGAATAAGCAATTTATATCGACCAACATTGTGCTTCACCAGCTATATGATCAATGTATGATGAAATGTTAAACTTCTGGGGCCCAGTCACATCCTCTATTGACTGGTGTGAAAACAATTATGTTTGTTCATCTTATATTGCAGAGTTCTACAACACAATTTCTAATATACCAGCTATCATCTTAGCTGTCATTGGCCTCATAATTGCCTTGAGTCAGGGTTATAAGAAGAGATTTACTGTTCTTCACCTTTCAAATATGATACTTGCAATGGGGAGCATATTGTTCCATGAAACACTGCAACGTGTGTAAGTAACTTAGTTTATTTCTCCTACAATTATCATGTTTTTTTTTTACCCTATCTCAGTTTCTTGGATATGATTCTACACCATTGCATCTAATCGTAAAAGTTTGTGCATTTATTAGTTCATGACTTCCTTGGTCTTACTAGTTCACTGCTTGATCCTATCTTTTGCACCTTGAGTCTTTGCCTCTTTGGTTTATGAATTTTGAGGTCTTTGATTTGTCAGGCAACTAGATTGGTGGGATCACCATTTTGCTTTACTTATTTGTGTCTTTCTTGTTATGCAACCCCCCCCCCCCCCCCACCCTTTCTGCTCTTATTCTCATTTTTGACTTATTTGAATGAATCTTGCCTGTTTATATCTGAGATATCTGGTATTGGTAGCATCATTGTTCATTTGAAAAATGTTGATCATTTTTGCATGAAACATGCCTGTTTGTTTTACAGGCAACAGCAAAGTGATGAAACTCCAATGGTTTGGGAAATGCTCCTTTATATCTACATTCTGTACTCACCTGATTGGCATTACCGAAGCACAATGCCCACATTCCTCTTCCTCTATGGTGTTATTTTTGCCGTTGTTCATTCAGTATTTCATTTCAAGATTAGTTTTAAAGGTCATTATGCTGTGCTCTGCCTCCTTTGCATCCCTCAGATGTACAAATACTACATCCACACAGAGGATTCTGCAGCCAAGCGTCTTGCAAAGCTTTATGTGATCACATTATTTCTTGCAAGCCTGTGTTGGGTTTGTGACCGTGTTTTCTGCGAGCATATATCTGGTTGGCCTATCAACCCACAAGGGCATGCTTTATGGCGTGTCTTTATGGGCTTTAACTCTTACTTTGCAAATGCATTTCTGATGTTTTGCCGTGCTCAGCAGCGAGGATGGGGTCCAAAGATTGTTCATTTCTTGGGTCTTGTACCCTATGTGAAGATCGATAAACCAAAATCTCAGTGAACAAACACAATTACTCAAAGCTTGTTGAACACCTTTCCCGGCCCCTTAAGTACTCCACAGATTAAGGTGTCTCACTGCCTGATGATAACCCACTCAGAAGGGACTGTTGACAATCTTGACAAAGCCTGTTCTGAAGTATGGCTTGTCACGAAACTATCATTAACCGTACATACAACAGTAGACGGTTACGGGCAATTTTGGTAAAGCAAATAGTCATTGTTTTGTTTTTATATTAGCGTCTAGATTAGTCGAAGCTATGGTAGTTTTTCTGTTAGAACTCAAGTATAGGTTCAACAGTTCTGTAAATTTCTGGTTTTCTTCATTTGGTGGAAAGTGTAAATTTTTTGATTCATTTGTCTTCTTACTGTAACCTAGAAGCTGAAATTTCTTGCTTATGCATCCGTTTTAGTGATTTATACATTTGTACAACTCGATGACTCTGTCACTTTGATGTCTTACCTTCGTCGTGTTTAATACGAAGTAGTAATTGCTATGCTTGTTTGAATGTCTTCATATTTTGTTTAACAAATAGTACATGTGTTATCTGATTATTTACCGATTACCATAATTTATTATCGGCTTCAAAGTACAGTACTGTAGTAGGTAGTCTAGGTACCGTTCGTACAAGTTTATTTCTATGCTATACGCCACGAGACATGACTCACACGAGAGCTATGTTCTACGCATGGAACTCGTGCTCCCAGGCCCCAGTAGTAATTTATGTGGTCAATTACTCTGAAGCTTGTTACCCGTACTAAATGGACTTTTATCTTTCCTTCACCCACTATTATAGTTTTAAGAGCCTAAATTTTTTTTCTTTAGATAAATAATGGTAGTTAAAATAATGAGAAAGTAATGTATCTTATACATTAAATATATATACGAAATAGTTTGATTTCGAGAATCAAGGTTGACCTAGTGGCCCTCCTTCCACTCCTATGAGAGGGGTTTGATTCTCACCTTCTCTTTATGTAAAATGTAGTGGAGTACTATATATGTTATAAATTTTTTATGGATCATGAGAACTAATGGAATTTCTTTGTAGTACATGATGATATAGGAGAATAGATAAGACTCATACTAAAGGCTAGAGTAGTTAATTAGTGTTCTGATAGTCATGGTGCTAGAGAAGTCTTATATATAACCTACATTTGGATAGATTTGGATTATAATTAAAAATTTATATTAGTGAGTCAACATTTACTTATCAAACACTTACGTTGTAATCATATATCTTCACAGTTAATAGCTAACAACTACTATCACAAATTTACAGCTAATAACTAACTCCATAACTATATTTTGCCAAACACGCCCAAAAGCTATTGATAAAAACTGATTCAGCTCCACCGTTCACTAAAACTTACCCCAACCACTACATTACCAAAAACTTATTTTTCTAAGCCGTAATTTAACTTGTAAAAACTAGGTGGTGCCGAATACGCCCTTAATCAACCCAATACGAATAATAACCACCTTAAATATGAGTAAAGAAAAGTAAATTTACTTGAAAGTACAACGACCCAAAGTCAAGTATATGGCCACACGATTGCCACGAGGGTTAAACACTATTTGGGATTAAGGAGTACGGGAGTATCTATGTTTCACCCTCGAAATAGAAAACTTTTCTTTTAATTTTGTTTATTGAGTAAGTATTTAATTTAAAATATCGATACAATATTATTTATTAGTTTAAACTTGAATTAACTTTGCGTGGTTAGAATATGAACTACTTGCCATTCCATATTTTTCGCCTACTCATGTGCTCATGCGTCATTCATTCATATTATTTGCTACTTAAAGAATTAAAACATTAACAATTACGCTTTTAATATGTTAATGTCCTTTCAGTTCAGTTATCATTTTAATCTAATATATAACCACTTCTTACTACTTGAAATTTCATTAGTATACATTGTGCGACAAACTTAACTTATACGACGTATTATACTTGTTGACTAAATGATATTTTAAAATAAGTTTAGGAGAAAAGAGGCGAAAAGAAAAATTAATGGGACTAAATATTTTTCGTTTTCACACCATTTTGTATTTCAATAATTCAATACAATACTTACAATACTTTGTATAACTCTATTTATTTGGAGCTTTCAATTTTTCTATTGGTTTTAATTTTGTCTCTTTAATTAATAAATCCAAGAATTTCTGAATAATGTTAAACTTAGTAGGCTAATAATATACCTCACTAATTCAAATACTTGTGACAAATACATAGGTCCCTTAGGAAACTGCCTTGAAACATCCTTTACTTTGTACAAAAGTGAAATTACGTAACAAGCAAAATAAAACAAAAACTACAAAATATTAAAATGAAATAAATAAAATAAAATAATTGAAAAGAAAGTTTGAAAGATAGATAAAAAGAGACTGGTAGTTGTAGTAAGGCTTTGAGAAAAATATAAAAGGGTATTGGCAGTTGTAATAATAATATCTAGGCTTCTTATTTACTCTAATCTTTTGCTCTTTATAAACTACCTTTAATTCTTTTGCACTTTTAGTTTGTAACACTTGTGAAAACATGGGTTGCGTTAAGAATAACTTGTTCATGTTATTGTTGTTGTTGGTGGTGGTTGTGTTTGTTATTGGTGGCAAAAAGGCCGAGGCTCAAGTTCACCACGTAGTCGGAAATGATCGTGGTTGGGAACTCGCTTCCGATATCGCCTCGTGGGCTGCTGGCCGGAGCTTTGTTGTTGGGGACTTCCTATGTATGCTTTCTTGCACCTTCATATTTCTATCTTTACAATTTATATGTCTTGAAGTCTTTACTCTTTACTACATTGCGTATAATATAAAAACCGATTATGATGAGATTCTAACCATGAATCTAATTGGTTTTATATTTTATCAAAGCTTCTGGTTAGAGTTTTAAAATTGGGTTTTGATATTTTACTAGGGCAATTTCGTGTGACTAACTTGATTTGATATAATTTTTTGGGAGGTTCATGAAATCAAAAGAGTGTTTAGTTAGTTTTAACTTATTGGAGATGTTACTTTACTTTTATTTTTTAGCAACCCCATGGTTTTGTCAATTAGGAGAGAAATCACCTAATTATTTTTTGTATTAGGGTTGATGTCCATTACTCAATATGTGTACATAGATACTAATTTGGGTAAAATATAGCCATATATGAATTTAGAATCATGTCTATCATGTGTTGATACACGTTATCAAGATTGATAGTCATAGACTTTTTTTTTTGGTGTTCAGTCCGGTTCACCCTTTAAGCTAATTCGGATTCGGGGCTCAGTTTTGGGTGATTAAGTTCTAGTCTTTTCCCAATTGTTGTTGTGGGGAATCAAACACGCGGTCTTCCCTATCAAGTGTAACCCCAATCACCACTGCACCAACAACCAATTGGTGATAGTTATAGACTCTATGTGACTAATTATTAAACAACCGCATCAAATGTTAATTGTTTTCTCCTTTTAGTAATCGACTATAAAAACATTTGCGGCCAATTGACCATTATAAAAACAATCCACCTATAAGACTGTCTTATGATGATAATACGATCTTATTTAAAAATGTTTATTAATATTGATGTCTGTGTTAGCATAACTTTTTTGACGTGGCTAATTAACAGGGTTTGCCTACTCTAGTGGCTTAGAAGAAGACAAGATAGTCGAACTAAAAAGCAAGAATGAATTTGAGTCGTGTGATCTGAGCAAACCAATCAAAGTTTATGACAACGGCTTAGATAAAATCTCACTAGAAGAGGAAGGGATCCGCTACTTCGCAAGTACTAATCCTGAAAGTTGCAAAAAAGGGTTAAAGCTTCCTGTTGAGATCAAGTCCAAATCAACGGATGTGATTCAATCATCAACTTCATCATGGAATTCTGTATTGGCCCAAGAACCCACTGCTCCATCTTCTTCAACTAAGATTTGTGGGCCCACTTTCATAATTATTGCTACAATCATTTTCTATTATATGGGGATATAAGTATATTATCATTTTTATTAACTTGTTATTACTTTTTGTTTGAACTTAAATCTTAAAAAAAAAAAAAAAAAAAAAAAAAACAGTATTATTGTGATTTGTGATGGTGCCTAAATTCTATTTCATGTGGCAGTAAAAAGGTGAATATTGAGTTTTGAACTTGTGGAAATTGTAATCAATTGCTTGCTTAGCATATTATTGCTCTTATATACAGACATACTGTAATGGTTTTTGTAGATGCAAGTAAGAGCAGTTTAGTTACTCGGATTTAAAATCTTGAGAGGTGGAACCCGAAATCTTATATATCGCATACTGAGTGTTATTTATTGTTTGTAACTCTCTTAACAACAAAATAAATGTTGAAAAGAATGTATATTGATATTTTCTTTTCACCTGATTTTGTTGTTCATATGTGAAGTTTGATAACCATACGCATCTGGAAAAACAAAATTACTTTGAATAATATTAAAAATCTTTAAAGGTTTACAGAAATTGGCAATAAAAAGTTATTTATCCACAGTTTTTTTTTCCTGAGAACATTACTCTTTAATGAAACCACGTAATTTCAGCAAACTCCTCAAAAACTGAGTTCGTACGATTTCTGTACTCTGGAAAAAAAAAAAATCAATCCCCTTGTTGTATACTTCGTATGATATTATCACACAGATATTAGTCAGACATTATCTATACGAAAATTCAGTCAGCATATGAGTTCTACATCTTCACAGTTTCAATTGATACCTTAGCCTTGGGAAGAAAAAGTTGACAGCTCTAAACAGATAGTGTCTCTTACTCTCTTATGATTTGTCTGAATTAAAGTAGACACTAATCAGGTTTAATTTCCCAATTCCCTTAGCACAATGCAATTCATGTTATCGCTCTTCTGTATCTTGGAGATCCTCTTCAAAATATCCTACAGAAAATGATTATGGGTTTAGGAACAGAATCAGATAAAGCATTGTTAACCAATTGGTATACGGGCATACAACCATGACAGATTGACAGCTACGACAAAAATATGAGGGGGAAGCGATCTATAGGAAGACATCAGGGTTCCACATTTTAATTTAACCATATCGTTTATTAATACGAATATAGAACATGGAGTAGTCTCTTAATCAAACAGCCAACAAAATACATTTTGATTGATCATGTACTACTACTGAACGCAATTGAAATTAAAAAAAAAAAAATTGGGAGGCAACTTTTTGTTGAGGGAGGATAGAGATAACAATCATAACACTATTGTGTTACTAGTGTATTTTGAGGAATTTCGATAATTATTTTAAGATAAAAGTCACAACCATAACTGAACATAAATTTCTAACAGAACCAAACTTCAGATACTTGTAATTCATTCATAAAATCATGTAACCAACAATGTGTCTCAGGTAAATAGAAAATAATATGTACCTCTTGTGTCTTAAGTCTTGCTTTAAATGTGTACACAAGATCAGTAGTGGTTACAGGTGCTTTTTGCAACAATACAACTCTAATTTCCTCTTCTAAGATAGGGCCCTGAGCAGGCGTGCCTGAAGTAGATGTACTAGCACTCTGCAGACGATGGTGATGTAGCTGAAGCAGGTGTGCTTGAAGTAGATGTACTACCAACTAGATGATTCCACACAGAAGCAATCAGAAGCATGATTGTTAATGTTGTGTTTCTTTTGCACACAAAACATATCTTATAAACCTCGAAATAACACTTTCAAAGCGTTAAACTGTACAAACATATGAGAGGAGGGTATGTTGCAACATTCATATTCTAAGCTATTATACTTCTAACTGTGTTAGTCTACCTTAACAAAGTAATAAATTGAGTGCCAAGAATCAATTTTTGCTTTTTTATATATATATATATATATTTTTTTTTTTTTTTTTAAAAAAAACCTCAAGGTTTATCCAAATAAATGGGCTGGCACAATCCACTAACAGAGCCAACTAAACTTCATTATAAGACAAAGGCCAAAGATACTCCATAGTCCATACCATCAATCTCTCCATCCCATTAATCTTTTCCCTTTTCCCAAACAAGTTTTATTTCGAAATTTTAATCATACATTTAACAACCATTCTTAATCTTCATCTTCAACCAAAATTTAAAGTTCAAAAACAGGCAAGATATGGGCATAAAATAGGTGAGTATATATTCATATACTCAGCAAAATTGATGTTGAAATCACCCTCTCTACTTTACTCGCAACACCTTAAATCAAGATCCTCAATTACGCTCTCTCTCCATACACATAGCAACAAAATAATTGCATTAGTCTCATTCTTACCCTACTTGTTCGTCTAGCATCCACTAATCTGTCCATCCACCATCACTAGCACAGCAAGAACTAGATCACTCAATGAACGCGGTAACTAGAAGCCGCAAACATATTGCTTTCCCGGGCTGCAACACATCAACAAACTCCCATCACACACTTTCATACAAAATTCAAGCATGCCACAAGAAGCAACTAATCAACCTGACCACCCCTGCTTCAAAGTAGACAAATTGATCCATTCTCAAAGAACAGTTTAGAATAATTGGTAACCTAATTACGATAGATTTTAGGAAAAATTAACATAAATAATCCCAACAATTGACCATCTTCTCATTTTAATCCCAACAACACTTTAACTCAAGATAATCCTAACTATTAACTTACTGTAGACACCTGATTGTATCTCCACAAAAACCAAACTCGGTAATGAGTACCTTTCACGTCTTTGATTATCGAGTTAGGTGAAGAGTTGAAGAGTCTCGTGAATTTCCCCTTTCTAACCCTTTCTTTAAATGTTTTTAGCCAAAATCATTTATTTCGTGTCTTTGAAATCATTCTTTTCGTGTCCTTTTTATAAAAGCGTCTAAACCAATTTATTTTGGTCTATAATATGGGTCCAATAATTGTGTAGTTGGATTGGGTTTGAAAAGAGCTTTTCAACGATATTTTATAAGCCCAAATCAGAGTTATAACGAAGAAGTTATGACCAAAATACTAAAATGGGTCCAAACCGAGCCTTATCTGCGGACCCAATGATCATGTGGAGGTTCCATTTGTCTTAACTGTATTTCTAAAACCATTAGGATTTATCATAACCTTCTAAAATTATCTAGAAGGTTGTTTTGAGTCCTAAATCCCTTAGGATTGATTATTAGCTTCTAGAGACCTCTAGAAGGTTCTAATTTATCCTCTTTTTTAAAAGATAAAGTTTAAGAATTTTATATCAGATAAACACTTGTTTTTAATAGATTTAATTCTGATAAAATAAAGATAAGTACGGACATTCAACTAACCCAATTTGATTGGAAGTTGGATTCCGTATGGATCCTATCTTCTGAAAAGCATCGCGCAACGATGGAATTATCGCACAGCCGCGATGAATTCATCGCCACGCGATGAAAAGTGTTTTACTCTGAGTCGGATTATGACTCTTTTTCTGATATTTTCACTCGTTTTTTCCTATATATAGGGATGTTTTCCTCCGTTTTCACCACCAACAATCATCATCTAATCCTCTCTATAAACTCTAGGCTTTCTCTCTCTCCCTTTCTTAGCCTTAGCCTAAACACATCACACCATATGACCTTTGCGAGACTTGAATACTCCAAGTCCTTCTCGAAACCTTCGACCTCGACGTAAAAGGTTGATAGTTCTGAGGGTTTGGTTTATTTGTTGGATTTATTTCTTTCTTGTAGTTACTAACGTGTGTATTATTTTGATAGAAAGAGATACGAGACATCAAAGTAAGTAATTCAATTACTTAATTATTCCTTTGATATAGAAATCATTTTTAGAATATTATTTTAATTCCTAGTATCATGTTAGGATGTTGATTTTGATTCCTAGTATCATGTTTAGGGTGTTAATTAATATTCCTTCCTAATATCATGTTTCTAGTATCATGTTTAGGATAAAGTTTTATCTTTATTATTTAAGGACATGCTAGGGTTTGTTATTAATCCGTTTAGTATTATGCCTAGGATCTTGCTACTAATTATGATTTATTGATATTATGAGGATATTATTATGATGATGATTGTTGTGTCAATTAATTATTATGTTGCTTGATTTATTGTTATTGCTTGATCAACACTTTTCTGCAAATTTAAAGGGAATTTGTACTTGAAATCACGCCTAATAAGATAATTAATAATTTGATTTTAGGTTTAATATGATTTTAATTCAAGTGATCGCCAATAATAGATTTATTTGTGCATTAATAATCAACCAACGTAGATTAAACAGGTTTAGGATTAACTTGTTATATGTATGTTGATCGGAAAACACACATGAATATCATAAGAATAAAGTAGAGGCCGATTTAAGGCAGGTTCAATCTCTTTTAGGTTAAATTTGTACCATCATCTCCGAATATCCAGTCATGGTTCCGGACCACTATGGAGTTAGCGATCTCAGTGATCGTGAATGGGGTGTAACCTTCACACTCGTGGATGGTTTACAAGTTCCTAAAACTTGTTGGCAACTCTTTTATCTCTACTTCTTTTCCTTTGGACGCCACCATGCTTAAATGCATGATCATAGTGGGGCTCAAAGTTATTGTTTGAAATATTCCTTACACTTACCCTTCTCACATTAGTCTCCATGTTTTGATAACCTATTAAACAGGCTGAAAGCATGATGTGTCACTTTAAGATTGATTTGCTTTTAAAATAATAATACAAAAAAAAAAAAAAAAAAAAACCTTCTTCCCTAACCTCTCTCCCTTCCCTATATTCCTGCCCTCCATAGCCTCCATACTCTACAAAACTGCCTCCACTCCCACAAAAACATTCATCTCCTTGAATTAACAGCAAAATACAACCCCTCAAAAACTTAAAAAATTAAGAAAAAAGGCAAGTTGTGGAGTTGGGCATAGCAACGTCGCGGTGTAGTTGCCATTAATGGTTAGCTGGAGAAAATGGGTCGGACCTTTTTTAGTCTTCTTTTTGGTCAAATTAGGCTAGGAAATGAACAAAAATCATGTACTTTTGCTTTGATTATCACATTTCAAGAGTTATTAAATCCTAATCTAATCCTTAAATTCAAATCAACATTGCAGAAAAATCGAAAATTCCGTCAATTGCACTATCACAACTTAATTGGTAGAATAAATCTACAATTTTTTAGTTTAAATTTAGCAGATTTTCAATTTTGAGAAGCAGAGGAGAAACAGGGGATTAAATTGCATATGAAATCACATTGCAGACTTCGTTGCTTTTGATCTTCAAGAAGTTAGATGGAAT